GAGGGGGCCGGGGCCGGGGCCGGGGCCGGGGCAAGACGGGGATTCCCGTGGGCCGGGACGGCAGCGGCTCCGCGCACGAGTGGGAGCGTGGGCAGACGCCGAGGGGAAGAGGTCATGGCCAAGCGAGTGGTCCGTCCCGGTGTCCTTGGTATTAGGAAAAAAGCAGCACACGTTAGTACTCCGCAAATTAAACCAGATCATGGAGAGAGGTCGTGCTGCCATAAGGCTTAGTAGCATTGAGCAGGGATCATTGCTAGCCAAGGAAGCTATGAGTGTATCTTTTATCACAACGTATAGCTAGTTGGGGTAGACTTAGACAAGCTTCTGAATGCAGCGTATCCTTCAGATCTAAGGAAAAAGCATCTATGCCAACCAGGCAGTTGGTCCAATTAAAGACGTGGATGGCAAAAATCCTTTCCTGGACTGTTGTGGCTACAACATCATTCCAACATTGCCAAAGAAAAGGTAGACTGTGCTGTTGCCACAGGGTAGGGTCAGAGCCTTGTGGAAGGACAGTAGATATAGGCCCTATATTAATATAGGGTGTGTCTATGCTGCATGGTGCAGTGTCACGTAGGGATACTTGCTATTTTGAGTACAAAAAGCAGTATAGCCACAAGCACAAAAGTGTTTCCCCAGGGACAAACAGCAGTGGCACAATATGTGCTGCTGCTGCTTCTCCCTGGGAAATGCCAGTGCATGCGTGCTCTGGCACATGGCGTGTTGCCCTGGCTGGGGTAGTGAAGGCTGGGGCCAGCACCTGGGCCAGCCCCGGCAGCCTTACCTGGGGTCCTGAGGGCCTGCAGCCATCGCAGTCTGGCAGCACACGGCCTGGCTGGCAGCCAGGGCATGACTTCGGCTAGCCAGGCTCCAGTTTCTGGTAATGCACGGTGCTGGCACATGCACCACCCCACTTTTTTAAGGCATGGGTTTTTTGACACTGGGATCACCACTGCAAATTAGTAGTGTGGGGAATGTATGCACGTGTGGAGCATACAGCACCAAATACTGCACATCCACGCTCGTCTGGATGTGCCCATTGATACAATGTGCCCATGCTAATTTACCTTTGCTTAGGACCTACCCAAACTGCTTCTAGCAGCTGAGTTAAGGATATCAACTTAATTTGAAATGAGCTACACAGTAGTGAATTGTGCAACAGACATATCCACAGTTGTTTGGCCTATAGTTGATAGCAATGGGGACAGTCCTTTGGGTGAGGGATTGGACTAGATGACTGCCTGAGATCCCTTCTAACCGCAATTTTCTATGATTCTATGATCTAAAGGATTTCCGCAGTCTGTACCTGCCATTTCTTAGATAACCCATCATGTAGTTCACAGGTTGTAACCATCCCACAAACAAGTTAGTGCAGCAGCAGTTATGTCTTTTGAAATTTGATTGTACTGTCCTTTCTACTGTTTTTTCTCTGGGACAGAGGCCCCTCACTCTCTGGCCCCTCACTCTCCACACCACTAACTACATACACAAAAGTGGAAAGTAAAAAGGAGCCTAACACCTCCTTGCGTCACGCCAGCAAGTGTTACTTCCTGTGCAACTGTGCAACTGCCAGGAGCATACAGCTGAAAGACACAGGTGATGTGATGCAAACCCAAGGGCTGGCTACACCCAGGTGACTCCAGCCATCACATTCTCTTTGACATAGCCCTCATGAAGCAGTTGGAGATGATGCTTGACTCAGTGGATTGACTAATCCTGTTCCCATGTTTCAAATGATTTCCAGATTCAGAAAGACTGAATTAGGGCAGAAAAAAAGAATGCCTTTTAGGAAATCTGAGTCTCCTCTCTCCTTTGGAAAAATGTCTGTTAGTTTGGAATTTTGCTATTTAGCTCAGTCTGGATACTAGCTAGCTTTAATCCATTCCTACTGACAGGCAAGCATTACTAAACCCACACTTAAGGGCTGGCTGCTGTGAAGCCCAGACAAAAAGGCCAAGCATAAATAAACATTTAAATTAAGTTGCTAAATCAGTTTAGGTCAGTAGCTAAGAACATAGTGAATGAGATGGCCTTCTGCAGTGCGGGTAAAGGGATGGGGAGCAGGGTAGAAATGGCAGCATTGTTTTTAAGGTCAGCATCTTCCATCTGCATCTGGAGTGGGATGTTTAGAGGAATCCTGACAAGAATTAGACTGAGGCATTTGCCTTTGAGTCACTGGTGGTAAATGGGCTGGTAGGCAGAACTTTTTTCCTTCCCTTCATGCCAACATTCACAGCTGTGGAAAAGCCATACCATAGCCTGTAAAAATGGTTTATGCTCAGTCTATGGTAATTTTATACTATGTGACCATAAATGCTCCCATTGTAGTGTGCCACCAGTGGGAGCCAAATTGTATGTGCCATTCACCAACTGTGCATGTACTTTGGCTCTATCACACTGACTGCAAACACTGCATTAAAGTCCAGTTAAAACTGCAATATGGGACTCCTCTTGCTATGGGAGGGAACAGACAGGCTGCAGAAAGCCATGGAGACTGTTTGCACTTATCTAACTGTCTGTTTATTGAATACCCTACACTGAGAGCACTGTCCAGTCTGCAAGACTTCCTTCAGTTGTTTTTCTGCCTGCTGGTTTTGTTGCTGTAAATACCTCACCAAGAATAAAATGTTTGACACACACACACACACACACCCTAGATTCTTCCCCCAAATGTCTCCATTGAAGTCATAGACAAAATTCACAATGACTTCCACTGTTTGAGCATGGAAATGGATACATCACAGACCCAGAGATAATGTCATTACAGGAGCATGGGTAATGTCATTAGAATATGTTCAGGCTATGATACAGAAAGGAAGAGCTTAGGGCTCCCAGAAGGAATTGCCCAGGCATCCATGGAGACGTGCAGAAATGGCAGAGACTAAAAGAAACAGGGACAGCAATCAGAGTTATGTGAACAAATTTACTCCCCTGCCCTTAGCAATATGGCTATGTGAAGAATCATATTAACTAGACCAGAAAAATGTACCTAACCCGACTCCCAGAACCAGTACTCTGGCTAGAGACATCTCACGAACCCAGTGTGTCCAGATGAACTGGCACAACTCTGTAGGTGTTTTGGGACCATGGGGGCCATATACCCTGGGTTTCTGTAGGGAGTATGAATAAAACTATATCAGCCCCAGTGCATTAGATAGTTGCTCTGACTAGGTCTTCATTGGTCTAACTCTGTCATGGAGAGGGAAGAATTATATCCATTGTGCCTTTCATTTTGATTGACCAACTTAGAAACCAAATAACTGAAAATTCCCATAGCAGCAGATCTTGAGTCCCTTATGTGGTCCTCACCAAAGCCAGCAGAAGTTGGGCCTGACTAAAGGCTAAATAAAAACAGTTTGCAAAGTGTGTCTCTTGGGGAAAGCTGGTCCCCCTCCTGAAGTCAGTAGAAGATCCAGGCTTTCAGCAGCTCACAAAAGTTCACTCTGGTACAATGACAGGCCTTCACACAGGTGTACCATGTTTCCCCTAGATACACAGAGCAGTGTATGCGATTATTTTGAGAGTGGTGAGAGACATGCTTAACCCACTTCATTTGCTGTGGTGGATTTAGCATGGTGTAAAGTAAAAACCCTGGGTGCAATCCTGAAATGTAATGAATATCATCATTTTAAAAACTGCTCCATTTAATTAGTAATTAGGATACAAGATGTATTTGGAGCTTTGATTAATATCTGCATCCTCTGACCAAGAATTTCATGAAATTGCACAAGGGTTAATAGAAACATGAGTTTCTAATAGTCTTTCCTGGAAATAGACTTGCCTTATGCAGCACAGCTTTAGAAATCACAGAATAAAAATCAAAGTCAACCTTTAAAGTCCAAGGATGGAAAAAATAACCCATGTTCAATGGCCCAACCCCTTCCCCCCCCCCCCCAAAAAAAAAAAAAAAGGTCTGCAGCCTTCCAAACAGCAAATTCTGTGGAAGCCAACAATTTCGGCATCACCAGACACAAGTCTGCCAAGAGAAATGGTCAACCCACTATGGAAGCCAGAATGAAAAACAGCTTCTAGCTGCCTTGCAGGGACTTGCAGTTTCTCATAAGGATGTTTCCTGTAAAAAAAAACAAACAAACAAAAAAAAACAGCAAATGCTCCTGGACCCATGCAATCTTTGCAGCTTCCCAGCGTCACCAAAGCAGTTCCTGTTGAGCTAGGTCACGAGAAAAAGATTTTTAAAAAATACAATGCATGCACAATGCCATCTGCAATGTCACCTTCTAGGGTTAAAAAATTGCAGGCCAGAAGCCCCTGAACTCTATCACACTTGCTACAAATATGGCTAAGCTCAGGCTTTCCTTCTCTAGGCTGACCCTGTTTTGTTACTGTAAACTCAGACTATTC